GCCTCGGTCAATGTTTTCAGACCATTTTATTTGATTTCCCGAAGTCACACGAGTGCCAAATTCACATCTGTCACATCCATAAGCAAGCCCTTCCCTAATAAATGCAGAAATGTCCGATAAATAAACTCAGTCATGTTGGTTCTGTGGAGAGCAACTCTTCTCCTGTGGATGAGCATCGTTTCTTTTGGCTTGTGCAGTTTAATTCACAGTATGCTGTGTACTTTTCTGCTCAGCTTCATAACACATGCTCATTTCCCTCAATTAAACATGTTTGCAGGGGAGGAGTTGACTGTGAGGTAGTGTACACAGACTGTGGTTTAGTGACTGAATGAGATATGATTAGAGCCACAAGTTCCATGGCATTGCTCAATATCATCTGCACTATAAACTATGACGAAACTATATATCGGATCTCACAGACTACATAAATTGTGTGCGAGACAAAAGGCCGGCACTTCTACAGCGGAGCATTCAGTGGTCTTCACGAGCGGTCCGTGGGGCCCGGTTACAGCCAAACAAAAGAGCGGGAGCGGTGTCGGATCCCTCTCACAGCACGGGTGAAACTGTAGCCCGCGCCGCCGGCCGTGACCTCATCGTGTTGTTTTTCCCGCAAACGCTCAACCTGCTGCGGAGCATGCAACTCGAGACGAATCGGCCAGCTACAGCACTCCACTGCTGCTAGATATATTTATAATGCAACTGCACACACTGTAGATAGAGACGCACACACATGCAGGACGTTTTCACTCAATTTAAGTTATTGCATTTATTCAAATTAAATCATTTTAAAATACATTAAATTAAATGTTTGAATTATTCAAAATCGTAAAAATATCTATTTATATAAAACAATTATTTTAAAATTAATCGTTCATATATCGATTATTAAAATAACCAATAGTTTTCCTCAAACTGCAACAACACAAGCATCTGTAGCACTTATGTTTGTTTACACTAAACTCATACTGCCAGAATACTATATAATAACAAGACAACACAATATAATAGCAAACCTTCATTAAAACACAAACATTGTCTGACTTTATTCAATGTCAGTCTTCACATTAAAACCTATTCCTTGTGAACAGGATGAAAGTAATTTGCAATTACAACATGTACAGTCCATACAGCAGAATCATTTATTAGTTAGCAATATCAGTATACCGCAGAGCTAATTAATAATTAATGCTCATGTCCTGTTGAGATTTACTGTCCCTCCCACAGATGATGTATGGGTTAAAATAATCATGAATTTGACAGTGTTATAATTATGAATCTGACTTTAATTGATTAAAACACAACAGCCTTACACGGCACAAAAATACACAGATAATATACAGTTTAATAATAATAATAATAATAACAACAACAATGATGATAATAATAATAATCTATAATAATAATAATAATAATAATAATAATAATAATAATCTATAATAATAATAATAATAATAATAATAATAATAATAATATAAAAAATAAACCATAATAATAATATTAAATAATAATGATAATAATAATATTAATAAAATAAAATAAGAAATAATAATAATAACATAAATCTGATCCTTCAGAAATCATTCAGCGATGTGGATTTGATGATATAGAAACATGATTTTCATCAATGTTGCTGATAGATACTGATTTGGAAACTTTTCAAAAGATGAATTCGGTCTGATAATTATAAATATTCAATTTTATTAAAGGCATTTAACCATTTAAAACAGAAATCAGCAATTATATGGCCACTTTGAACCAATTTAATGAATCTTTGCTGAATTAAAGTATTGATTTTGTTATATATTATGTATATTATATTTAGATATATTAGTATTCTAGATATATATATTATGAAATTTGTATTAAAACTGAAGAGTTATTGTTGTAATGAGTCATTGTCTTGACTGAATTTAAGTACACAATGAATAAATGTCATTTAAACTGTGTGTACTGGAGAGGAGTGCAGGTTATTCAGACGTCTTAGAAAAAGAAAGGTCCCTTACAAACTGATGCAATCAGGAGTAATGCAAGCCAAACTACATCTATTCTACAACGCTAATCCAAAACCAACACATCTGAAAAAGGAGATCCGCCGTATCAGCTTCAGCATATGATGATAATAACATGAGTCAATCTCTGAGCACTGTACATATACAGCACAAACACTGTTTATACTGTAGCAGCGGCGATTAAGCTATAAACTACATGCATCATATAGGTGGTGTTCACACTTGTAGACTGGCTCTCTTGTCATGTTTGCTCCAGGCCAGAAGCTACTATTCCATTTACAGACAAAGGAACAAAACAGAACAAAAATAAAAGGCTTTTATGACATATATTGGAACTTAAACATGTGCATGAATGTTTGTCAATTTTAAAATGTGTGAATGAGTAAAACCAACAGCAATAACTAAGTGTTTGCTTTAAGCGGACCAAACACAGCCTTTCAGACGAATCAAAGTAGAACTATTTAGATAAAACACAGGGCTATTTTCATCTACAAACTTTCTAACTTAATATTTCTATATAATATAAGCTCTGCTCTTTTAAATGTTATAATTAGCATTTCATAAAGATGTGAAGCAGCACAGACACATTCAGCTGTCATAAAACAATTACAAATGAACATGTTATAATGCCTGAACACATGAATAATAGTGGCAGTGATAATGCTGAACATCATTTTGCCCAGTTACAGTATAATAATCCCAGTTTACTATATTCATATGTTCCTGTGTTGCCACTGCATTTGAATATACAGTATGACCAGTTCTGCATGCATTAAAAACATATTCTCTTCTCTGTTTTTATTATTAATGAATTGATCAAACATGTTATATGGTCATTTATAAGGCTTCATGCATGCATTAACATCATGACCATTTAATGCATTAAACACATGCTTGATAGAAAGTGTAAATACACACACTATTACTCTTAATTTGAGTTTCACCCCAAAAGGTGCATTTCTGATGTAAATATGAGTACTGTGTCGGTTGTCAGATGTGAAACCTACATTGCTGTTGGTCGTTTGTGATAGTTAACGTGGTTGTCTACAGCTGTGGTTACTCTGCTTAACACCTATGTGTACTTGACAAGAACAGGCATCATACATCCACCCAACACAACATCACCCTGCCTGCTAGAAAACGGTGAAAACCTGCAGCATTTCCTTGCAGGTGCCACTTTACCATTTAACTGAATGCAATGACATTGTGTTGCTTAACACAGGGTTACCACATTAAAGGTAAAGACGTAAACTGTGTCTCTGCTGTCTCTAGAGTATGTGTGTGTGTGTGTGTGTGTGTGTGTAGAGTGTGTGTGTGTGTGTGTGTGTGTGTGTGTGTGTGGTGTGTGTGTGTGTGTGTGTGTGTGTGTGTGTGTGTGTGTGTGTGTGTGTGTGTGTGTGTGTGAGCTGAAAACAGCACACAGATGATGTCCTCCAGCTCTCTGAAGCTGACCCTTTCAGGCTCTGATCCTAATTGTGGTGTTTTGGTGACTGTCGCTTTAAATGCAAATGAGATTGTGCTCTTTTCAGAAGAGGGCGGAGCTACAGGCGCCTGTGTGTCAGCATAGTGGCAGACTTAAAACTCTAATGACGGACAGACGGCTGCTTCTCACTCAGGGCTGTTTTAAATTGTAAAGAAATCAGTTATTTTGAAGAAATGAAGAGAGCAGAAGTCGAATATTCATTAGAATCCTTTAGTGTGACATGTTTACTGCTCCAAAATATTATAAATGTTTCTCTAAATAAAATATATTGTGTTCAAAGGGGAAGAAAGTTGTTGTTTTGCCCCCCAGATGTTGTAAATGAATATATTTTAGAGCGGTAATCACAGCACCGTGAAACTGTGATCATTTTATCCAAGGTTATCATACCATCAGAATTGGTCTATATCATATTAAAACATATGTTAAAATAAAAATATATAATACTAAAGTGTTTTAGCTTGAATATAAATATGCATGACTTTAATACGCACTATGAGAAGAGCAGTGGATAATCTACCTCAGTTTTTGTGCTCTTTGTGTGATGTGAAGCGCTCCAGACAGCTGGATAGTCGCTTTACAAACATTACATTCAGCCTTTAGAAAAATGCTGTTTTTGAAGTGGCCATTTTGACATTAAAGATCTTAAAATGTATATTATCTTGACATGCTGACGTTAAAATGGAGCTGAAAATAGCCATATGTGTGAAACAACAACAAAATGTACAAAAATATAGATGCATATGAAAGAAGAAAATCACAATAACTGTTTTCAGTTGTAATAATTATTATATATCAAATATATATACATATATAAATTATTTTTTAATATTTCTCAAGTTTTGAAACCCATTTTGAAACAGTTTTAATAATCACTTCTAATAACTGATGTTCGTTTTGCTATGATGACAGCACATAATATCAGACTAGATATTCTTCAAGACACTAGTGTTCAGCTTACAGTGACATTTATTAGATAACAGTGTTTTTTTTCTGTAGATCAGGAGGAAAGAAATCTTAAGGGGGCTAATACTAATAACCTCAGATTTGTATAAATAATGTTCAAAATAAAAGTAACAAGACATTTTCTAGAAGAAACGAATTTAGTAAATTATGTGATATTGTCTTTGCTCTGTTAAACAGCACTTGGGAAAATCCACAAGAAGCCCAATAATTTATCATTTTGCCAGACAGATGGATGGATGGATGGATGGATGGATGGATGGATGGATGGATGGATGGATGGATGGATGGATGGATGGATGGATGGATGGATGGATGGATGGATGGATGGATGGAGATAGAAAACTGCTTTACAAAAGCCCCTGATAGTCCAGAAATGTCCATGATCTGAGGGAATCTGCTAACACCTCACCATAATAGCGTCATGAATGTTCATATCGGAAACAGATTCGGTTAGCTTGTTTAATGACTCATTTGGACGGAAACTAAAGATGTGTTCTCACGTCTTCTCAACACGGTTTACAGTTGAACAAATGAAGGCAAAATACCTGGCACTCCCCAGTAGTGAGTGTCCCTTCCTCGGTCTGACTCGACGATCAGGCCCGCTGCGCTACTTCCATCTGCGGAGGAAAAGCGGAGATGTCATTTCAGAAGCGTTTCCTGCCTCTCACAGTTTACCACAGTAAACGAGGTATATGTTAAAATACGATCTGGTGTCAGCACAGACTGTCAGCAAAACACACATGTACCGCTTAAAAAGTTCTTTCCTCAAGAATTAGCGGTTGAGTACAGCAGGCTAGCTGTTTTAACTCGGTTACCATGGTAAACTCGTTATCACTCACAAGTATTTACGGTCACTTAGGGTTAGGGTTAGGGTTTTACATTGACACATTCAGCCTTTCTCCTTAATGACTTAATCTCAGAAAAGTTTCTAAACAGTGAAATCATATGATCAGACACTCTCAACAGTCAAATAAACAGCGCTGATGTTGATTTCGAGTCATGTTTACATCAGAATCCAGACCGAATATTGATGGTAATCACTATAGGGAGCGTCACAAGTTGACACCGAACGGATATGCGCGAAAATAAACCAACTTTACCACATTATAAGCAAGCAGAGCAGTTTTGACCATCACTGCCGCTTTTAAGAGCCGAATAAAGTCACACGGCACTGAGTCAGACTGCACACAAGCTGAAAGCCGGAGTTAGAGGAGCATTCAGCACTCGAGTCCGACTCTTCTGGTGAACTACAGCTTCAGCAGCTACTCAAGACTGTTTGTTTGTTTTTCTTTCCACTAACATTAAGTGTCTGATTTAAATGTTTCACAAACAGACTTATAACTAAACTAAAATAGATTTCGCTGACAGTGTAATAATAATAATAATAATAATAAACTGTTGTAAAGTGATGAATTAAAACAAACAGCAGGAGTAACTGTTGTATAAGGCTGCACTGGAAATACCAAGCAGCAGACTGACTTCCTCATAAAGAGCCCAGCAGCTCAGTTCATAAGACGAGAGAGCGCCAGTACCTTGTGTGAAGGATAAAAGCATGCAACAGGTCGCTATTCCCTTCTGTGAGACTGCTTTTCTTTTTTGCACACGCTGCTTTAAAATGTCCAAATCTGCTGAATCTGGTCCTAATCCTCAGTTTGTAGCCTGACATCCATTAAAAAGAGCCGCAGCGATGTTCGCCAGTGGTGCGAGAGGGAGAAAGTGAGTTATTACAAGTATCTGGCTAAGCCCCGCCCCCCGAGGCGGACGAAAATAGAAATGTGGGCGGAGTTCTCCAAAAATAGCGTGTGACGAAACACGCCTGCATGCTCGCATTGTTTCCTGCCCTGTTATTTCATAGGCTGCAGAAGCATCCACACTGCACTCTAGTGTACTTGAAAGTTCTGTCACAAATCAGCACCTTCACACACTGCTCATTTCACTAGCAGATGCTCATGAGGATATACATCTACAAAATATTGATTATTAAATATATGAATATGCAAAATAATAAATAATATTATTATTCATTTATTATTATTATTATTATTATTATTATTATTATTATTATTATTATTATTATTATTATTATTATTATTGCTATTATTATTATTATAGTTGTTGTTGTTGTTGTTGCTGTTGTTGTTATTATTATTATTATTATTATTATTATTATTATTATTATTATCATCATCATTATTATCATTATTATATATTAATATTATTATTTATTATTATTGTCAATATTATTATTATTAATATTATTATTATTTTATTATTATTATTATTATTATTATTATTATTATTCCCAAAGAAAGCTCAGATTTGTCAGTATATGTGTTAATTATGTTTGATTATTTCACTTTCTTGTCTTTTATTAATGTTCTGTAAGGAACTCATCAGTTTGACTGGCTTATTTCAGTAGCTCACTGTTTTTTGCCCCTACATTTTTTAGCTGAATCAAATTAGCCTTTTGAGTCCATTGAACTTATATTATATTATATTATGTTAAACTGACTTAAAAGAGCTTGTGTAACTTATAAGATTAAGTTAAAACATGATTAAGTTAGTTTAATATGACCTAAGTTAAAGTTAAGTTAAAATGACCTAAAAACATATGCTGTCAGGACTAATTAATCATATAATGTTTTACAGTGCAGGGGCTAATGTTGATGTAAATGACATGAAAGGAAATAGAATGAGTTATTGAATATGATAATTATAATAATGTATTACACAGGATTTATTATTATTATTATTATTATTATTATTATTATTCATTTATTCATTCATTCGTTCATTTTCTTTTTGGCTTAGTCCCTTATTTATCAGACATTGCCACAGCGGAATGAACCGCCAACTATTCCAGCATAGAAGTAGTTTTTGAAGTGGCCATTTTGACGTTAAGATCTTAAAATGTATATTATCCCGACATGCTGACATTAAAATGGAGCTGAAAGTAGCTTAATAAATAAATGCATTTTTTTACATTTATGTAACTCTGAATATTTTTATCCCACATATTTGAATTTTCATTTATTCTAAAGCGTATATTTCTGTGTGTAGTAATAATATTATATTCTTACACACGCACTTCCCTGAGTTATTTTAAACTTGTTGAAATGTTTTTCATGGAGATGTGCTTTCGCTTTACGCAGTTTATTCATGCAGTTTGTAAATAAATGTGGAAATAATAAAAACTGAAGTGAAATATAGTGTGTGAAACATTAATATACTCTCTACTCAATGTGAATCTGCTTTGACACAATACCGTGCACAATGAGAGCGCTACAGAAATGAAGATGACATGACGTGTTTATATTGCCTCAATAGACTTCGATCTGATCTTTCTGTGAACTCAGCTCATCCTCATCAGCAGCTACCAAGAAACCCTTCAGTGATTTCCACCACAGATAAAGGCACATCGAGCATGTACGGCAGCCGTGCGTGATGCAGAGCCCTGTCAATATGTGGATATGCGCATGTACTGTCAATGCATGCTTCTTTTCTTTAGGTGTTTCTCTGTAAAACAGAACCGGTCAGCATTCGCACGCCGCACACACGCTCTGAAACCACTACCTGACCCGCTTCTCAGAAACAAGGACACACACTGCCGGTCTCCAGTGGGTTTCTGATTTCCTCTAGACTCTCAGCGCTGGCTGAGGCTCAACGCCTGCTCTCTGTGCTCATTAGACGGAACAGATCAGACTGGTTTCACTATTTCTGTGCAGAATTTTCCATTTTTAAAAACATCTGCAGATTTATGTGGAATAATTTTGAAAGTATAGGAAACGAACACTTAAAGGAGAGTTATTCTGCCCATTTATACAAGCTGTAAACACGTCTCTGTTCTCTTTAGTGTGTGTGAGAGTTTGAGCTGAGAACAGCACACAGATGAGTTTTGGTGACTGTCACTTTAAATGCAAATGAGATTGAGCTCTTTTCAGAAGAGGGCGGAGCTACAGATGCCTGTGTGTCAGCATAGCGGCAGACTTAAAACTCTAATGGCTAATGGACAGACGGCTGCTTCTCACTCAGGCCTGCTGTTTATGCTAATGAGATGGAGAGATGGGCACTAGTGGGCGGGGCTTTCCCCCCTGATGACACGAACAAATGGAGAATGTCAATCAAAGTGTTTCTGCATCAAGAACAAACACAATTAACTCTTGATCAGCATTAGAGACCGCTGGAGATACACACACACACACACACACACACACACACACACACACACACACACACTGAACATGCATATGAACACGGCTCTTCTCTATTGCTGCAGTGTGGTGGAGCAGTTTCAGCACGTGTTCACAATACTATTTAAACTCTTTTAGGGCAGAGGAGACAAACAAAAGTCCCCAGTTCACACACACACACACACACACACACACACACACACACACACACACACACACACACACACACACATTGCACATAGTGAAACTAAAGCAGTGTTTTGCAGCACCTAATGCTCCTCCAACCGGGGGATCCCAACAGTCTTACCAGAAACCATCAGTGTGTGTGTGCTTGTGTGTGTGTGCTTGTGTGTGTGTGTGTGTGTGTGTGTGTGTGTGTATGTGTGTACGAGTGTGTGTTTTATAATTACACAGTTCTTCGGTCTGAATCATATCCGGCAAAAGCTGAAAATAACAAGACCTCGATCTGACAGCACAGCAGGGAAACAGGCAACACACACACACACACACACACACACACACACACACACACACTTCACTTTATCATGTTTAGCCTTTCAGCATGCATTAAATTCTGTTGAAGGCAGAGATTTGTAAATGCCGTCAGGTGAAGTTGAAGATGAAGCAGAGCGTTTAACGTTGAGCTGCAGCAGAAATGCATGCTGGTTAATTATCTGTTAGACAGAGTTAAACACAGCAAGCTCATTATTACCCTTTTATTTGGTTAGGCAGAATCATTCCTTCATTCTCCTTCAGCTTAGTCCCTTTATTCATCAGGGGTCAGCACGGCGGAATGAACCAACAACTTTTACAGCATATGTTTTACGCAGCGGATGCCCTTCCAGCTGCAACCCATCACTGGGAAACACCCAAACACACTCATTCACACACACACACACTCATACACACACACTCATACACTACGGCCAGTGTAGTTGATCAGTTCCCCTATAGCGCATGTGTTTGGACTGTGGGGGAAACCGGAGCACCCGGAGGAAACCCACACCAACACAGGGAGATGAGCTATAAAATACTTTGATTATTTTACAATACACTCCGTTTTATTTAATCATTGTTAGGGTACTTGACCATTTTTGTAACAGATTAGGACATTTACTAGCAATTTCAGAGTGTTCAGAGGGAAATGAGCTTTATTTGTGCAAGATTTTCCATAATAACTAACATCTGTAAAGCTCTTGACATGTAGTGTTGAGCTTGACAGACGTGTTCACTTCTGAATAAACATGATGATATATGTCAGGCACATCATGATCTCATGTCAAAAGGAAAAGCTAGATTATTCTCTTCTTCCATATTCAGATGATTCTGTTATTTTAAGGAGAAACTCTCTTCATTTTGACTCATTATTGCTGAACACAACACGATATTTATCTAGAAAATGCCTCTTGATTTAGTCATTTGTGGATATTTGGACTAGAAATGACACTCAAACTCTAAGTAAGAAACATTTTTACCCTAAAAATGTCTGAGGTGTGTTTTAAGACATTATTCACTGTTCTTAATCTTCTAGCTGACAAACAGAAGTGTTTTACACTAATCAGATCCTCCTTACAGCCCTTGTTAGTACACAAGAGATGTCTTTAGCGTTCTGTGATTATGGTTAATCACACACACGGTGCGTCCCTTTAGCCAAATAATCAAACGTCAACCATAAATATGTCAGATTCGTATTAGACGCAGCGCTCGTGCTTTATATTTTGTGGAAACAGTTTAGTGAACTGATGTCACATCCTGACTGGGTGAAGAAAACTGCAGTGACACACATTCATTCACTGTAGAGATGCACACTAGCGCTGCACCAATATATGTCCATCAGCATGGACATCACAATGTGCGAAAACACAATGGCCACATCGCAGGATCTGCAGTGTTGAGTCTGGATTACAGTTGAGCAGATATTACAGTTCTAAACAGAGTGAAGCCATTTCAGATTTTACCCCTAAAGTTTAATATCTGCATTTGTTTTTAAGCTCTGTGACTGTGTATATATGCAATTGAAGGAACTTTAAGAGATTTGGAAACTATAAATTAAGCATTTGAAGCTTAAAAGATAAATGGTATGATATTTATTCATTTGCATAATTAAAACACTATAGTCTTATTTTATATTTGACGAATTATAAATCAGTGTTTATTTCATTTGTATCTTTGCTCTGTTGCATTTAACTTTGTTTGTTGTTTTTTTTAAATGATATTTCATGCTGTTACAATATCCTAGAAAATCCTCCCAGTCAATCTGGTGAAACTCTACTCATTTCACATGTATATATAGATTATATTAGTGGTGTGAACACTGGTCTCACGGTTCAGTTCAGTTTGGTTGCGATTATCATCACTTTCAGAGTGCTACACCCTTATGATTGGTCACACGCTCAACAGAAAGGGCTGTGATTGGCTCTATCGCTCTGATGGTGTTCATCAATGAGTGATGCAAACAACGACAGCGGTGATCACAGCAGATCCATGATAGATACAGAAAAAAACTCTCTGCAGACACACTCAGGTCTGATCCACA